AATTTAATTAGATCATTAATAAAATTTAAATCATTTTTTATTTTTTATATAAATTAATAATAAAAAATAAAACAAACGGGTCAACCCGTCAACCCGCGGGTTGACCCTAACCCGACCCGTAACCCGTACGGGTTGATAATACGGGTTATCTACGGGTTGCGGGTTGAGATATGTAAACCCTAACCCGTTTTTTAAGGGTCGGGTTAAGGTCGGGTTGACGGGTCGGGTGGATTTTTGCCAGGTCTAGTTGGGTGTTTCCCCCTATCCTGTTGGCCATATTTCAGTCATTTTACTACTTTACTAGGATTTGTAGTGCATCCTCCATAGACTATGGATTAAGCTAAGCCCATGAAGATTTCTTTGATCTACATGCTTTGAACTGGAATGCAAACAACACTAATTCAACCAAAGAAAACAGAGGTTATTATCAATTATTAACTCAATATAATAAGTAGCAGTTGATAATGCCAGTAATTAGAAGAAAGTACTGAAGGGACTAAACATTGTTTTTAAGATGTCAAAAACCATAAAAGAGACGAAGATTGAGCATTGCATCAAATGTTAAGCTCAGCCAAGCCAAAAGTCCTTTCAACAGCTTTGCACCAACACTCCACCTTCTTCTTCCTTGTTGGTTCATCTAACTTGGGATGGAAAGTGGTTGAAATTTTAGCCTTTTCATTTGAACCAAGAATATCCTCTTCTTTCCAAATTCCGACTCCTAATCCCGCAGCATAGGCTGCTCCAAGAGCTGTTGTTTCTATGTCAGCTGGTCTTATCACTGGGCTTCCCAACAAATCCGCCTGAAAGCAATAGTGTGAAGAAATTCAATTAGGGAACTTCTATGTTTAATCAGAATTCAGAAAGAAGAAAAAGAGAGAGAATACCAAGATAATATATCGAGAGTTGAGACTACCAACAAACTCTAGTACTATCATTCATTAATGGGGCAACTACTGCTTCTGTAGAAAATTATTGGAAAAACTATTTCTGAGATGTAAATACAAATCAAAACAAAGTAAAAACCGCTGCCTGAATAAAGATTAAACAAGAAAATGATATTCTGTCGATGAATTCATGAGAATAGTAAGACAGAACATCTGACTTACAAACATCTATATCAATTAACATTCATTTGGAAAACATTTATATGAACAGATACTATTCTCTCTGGGCAGAAAACCAGGTACTGTGCTCATAAAATAAAGTTTAGACAAATCTGGGGCAAATTTATCAGGTAAAAGTTGTGAGAAAATTGACAAAATGGCTCTCAGAAACATATCCTTCACTTTCATCTAATATCAGGTTCAAAATTGCCATGGGATGGAACAACCGGAACAACCAAATTCATCCCTACTCATGTAATTAACTTTTTCTGCTTTCTCTAGAACTGTTTCAATCTTATGCAGAATGCCAGTGGGAAACAAACAAGATCATCCAGAAACACATCAAAAATGTTAGAACCTAAAAGAGGTTGATATGCCTGTGTAATCACCATCATTAAGTAGGTATACTTTGGAAAAAAAATTAGGAACAAGCATAGGTTGTACTTTGGACAGATGACCTTAGCATAAAGGAAATTCAACAGGTAGACAAAAATAAAAAAAATAATAAGGAATAACCTCAACTTTGTAAAGGGGAAGTCAGCAAATACCAGAATTGTAGCTCAACAAAATTGACAATTACTGAGTCACCGAATTTGATGCAAGAATAGGCTATAGAGAAGTAAAATTGTGCAAAAATGACAATATTGAAAAAGGAAAAGATCCAAAATGAAGAATGGAAGAGCACAAACCTGAATTTGCATCAAGAGGTTGTTGACAGTTGCACCACCATCTACTCTAAGCAAGAACTCCCCTTTTTCGTTCTTAACCTCACCCATCTCACCTGCATCTTTGTGCATAGAATCCAACACATCCCTCACTTGAAAACACATACTTTCAAGCACTGCCCGGGCAATATGAGCCTTACTTGTAAACCTTGTGATCCCAATACAAACTCCACGAGCATCATCACGCCACCATGGAGATAATAATCCATTAAAAGCAGGGACAAAGTAAACCCCACCAGTGGTATCAACCGATAAAGCCAACTCCTCAATATCACTGGCAGTTGAAATTATTCCAAGACTGTCTCTTAGCCACTGAACTGCAGCTCCAGCAATAGCAATGGATCCCTCTAGAGCATAATTAGTTGGTGCTTTGGGGCCAAGCTTATATGCAAGTGTGCTTAGAAGCCCATGATTTGAATGGACCATCTCTTCTCCCGTGTTGAGAAGGATAAAAGCACCAGTACCATAAGTACATTTGGCCTCACCTCTCTTGCAAGCTTGCCCCAACATTGCAGCGTGTTGGTCACCAAGACATCCTGCAATTGGAACACCAGCAATGGGCCATCCTTTGCTAATTTTTCCAATGATCTCAGAATTACTTATAATTTTAGGTAGAAGTTCAGCTGATATCCCTAAAGTATTTAATATGGTTTCATCCCACTCAAGGGTTTTGATATTCATGAGCATTGTTCGAGATGCATTAGAGACATCAGTGACATGTAATCCCTTGTTTGTTCCCCCAGTTAAATTCCATATCAACCAAGTGTCTATAGTTCCAAAGAGAGCATCTCCTTTCTTAATAGCCTCTTTAACAGCATCCACATTTTCCATCAACCACATCAGCTTAACTGCACTAAAATAAGTGCTTATGGGCAAACCACATGTCTCCACAAAATGACTTTTACCTCCTGGTAATTCACTCTCCAATTTCCTAGTATAAAATGACCAAAAACATCAAAACATAGAATTCCCAAAATAATAAAACAATGAGTAAAAGCTGCTCAAGCCTCAAAATCCCTTACTGCAATCAATCGTTTGCAGACTATTAGATAACAATTCAAAGGGCTCAACTGGTTAAGAGCATGAGATTCCAAATTGGAGATCTCATGTTCCAGCCTTGAGTTGGGTGGGGGGAGGGTTATCCCCTCTTGTATAGCCTACCATCAAATTTACCAAAAAAGGAAAAAATTCAAAGTTTATACTTTTCATAAGACCCAAATCAGGATAAGAAAAGGGTATTAAACCATTGATCAAAAGCAGCAAATTTTCACACAAAACTGAAAATGAAAAAAAAAAATGGTGAACCGGGTGCAAGAGGGCTACCTGCATACGGAAGTGGTGCGAGCATCCATCCAAACAATGGCGTTATAAAGCGGACAGCCAGTGGATTTGCTCCAAACAAGAGTTGTCTCTCTCTGATTGGTCAACCCAATTGCCTTTAAGCCGCTGTCGACATTATGCCCATCAGCCGTAGCCTTATCCAAAGCCTTGGCTATACACACTCTCACACTTTCCAATATCTCCATCGGATCATGCTCCACCCACCTAACATCCAAAAACAAGAATTACCCAACAAATAAAACAGAGACAAAATCCATATACGCATAACATAGACATCGAAACAGAGATAAAGGGAAGGAAAGAAAGACAGTACCCGACTTCTGGGTAGAACTGGGTGAACTCGACCTGATGAGATCCGATGGGGCGAGCAGAGCTATCGTAGATGATGAATCTGGTACTGGTTGTGCCTTGATCAATGGAACCAATGAAGGTTTCATTCTTGGACGTTTTCAGATCAGTGTTTGACATATTCTTTACTCGTAATTTTTCAATAAGAAATGGGTGTTGAGTTCTGATGAGCGGATGAGAATGAGATGAAGCAGAGCTGAGAAGAGAAAGAAGACTTCTGCGTTTGTTCCTTACTATTTGGAAATTTTATCGGTGGGCAAACTACCTTTATATTCCCTTCTAATGTACCAAAAAAAAAAAATCTACCCTTATATTCCACCAATAAACCACTGCTCTTATCCAAATGGAACTTTGGACAATTGGCAAAATAATGAACCAGAAATATGACTTGTTTTTATTTTTATTATTATTATTATCAAGGCATTTTCACTTTTCCAGTTAGCTTTTATTTATTTTAAATTTTATCTTTTTATAAAAAATAATTTTAAAAACTGACCTTTTTGTTAATATAATATATAATTTAATTGTAACTTGCACGGTACCACTACTTTTTCCTCTATATGACTAGTTTTCGATAATATTGATGTGACTCTCTTGATTGATCTTTCCTTTCTTATGGAATATTTTATAAATTATAGTATTAAAAAATATTATATTTTTCTTGCCAAAATTAAAGATTTTTTTAACTTAACAAGAAAATGTTATGGAATTCATTAGTAAATAGATCTTAATACAAATTCATTATGAGAATGTAGAAATTTATTAGATTTGACATTGGTATAATATACCATGTTATTTGACCTTTATAAATAAATTTATTTGTAAATTTTAAACATGTGGTATTATAAGTGATGTTATAGGAATAATTTTTTTATATTATATTTTTATACAATTTTTATATGTCATTAAATGAGTGAATACATTTAATATTATGAATCTCGTATAAATTAAAAGAATTAATCATTTCAATGACACATCAAATTAAACAAAAATGTGAGATAAAAAGTTATATAAAAATCTTTTTTCTAATATTATAAACCCTAACAACATGGTTGTTTTTATGCCATATCAAAAATATGTCATCGTTGTCATTCATCATTTAAAAAAAATAAACTATAACCCCATTTAGATAATAAATTCATCTTATGTCAACATAATAAGGATTTAATTGTGAATTAAAACTTACTATGTTTCACGATAACGATCAACAAAATCACACAAAAAAAGACAAAAATGGGGAGCAAAACAGGAAATGAATAAAAAATAGTAAGATGTGGTCATGCAAACTGGTGAGAGTTATTGAACATATTTTTAGAACTTTATAAATATGAAAAAATAATTTATTTATTAATTACATTCATAAAAAAAAATCATATTTAAAATTTATGTTATTTTAATAAAATTTTATTTAAAAATTCAAAAATAAAAATAAAAATATTTTAATTTTTAATAATATTTTATTACTCATAAATCAATAAATTTACGTTTTTTTTTTTCCTTTTTTTTAAATAATTCTGGCTACCAAACACTACTATATATAGGAAGAGAAATTGTAATCACTATATTTATTAATAGAAATTATAGTGTACTAAAAAAAAAAAAAAAGCAAAAAAGAAGGTATGGCCATTTTCGGCGTGGCAAACTCAATATGGTAGGCGTGACCGAGTCAGAGAGAGAGAGGGAGGATTTTTTGGGCGGAAAATCCAAAGCGTTAATTTTCCGTGATGACGTCATAGTTCCGAAATTCTAGGATGGTCTAACGGATTAGTTTACGGCGCCACGCCAGCGTCGCTGCCACTGCCACGTCAGTGCTTTGGATAGATTTGACTTGCTTTTTATCTCCGTCTCCGTCTGAACGGTTTGACTTTCTCGTTCTCCCCGTGGCCTGCACCAGATTCATCATACGGTTCACGCCTTCACGGACCAAGCACCAACTTTTTAATACCACTGGGCGCGACAAAATTAAGGTCCCTCAACTTTCAGATTTATATTAAAAATATCTTTAAACTTTAAAAAATATCGAAATTATTCCTAAGCTAATTTTTATATCGATTTAATTATTAAAATTTGAAGAAAAATATCAATTTGGTTTTTGATTATAACTACTAATTGAGTTCTTTAACTTTGATTACACGTAAATCAAATAATAAATGAAAATATGTTATAGTGATAAAATATGATTATTTGATTTTATACGTTATTAATATTTTAAAAATGGACTGATTACATTAATTAAATGACTATTTTGATGCCAAAAATTAAAATCTAATGAGAATTTTTATACCTTTTAAAGTTTAAAGATAATTTTAATATAAATTTAAAAATTGAAGAACCAAATTGACATTAAATTGTATAACTACAACTATTTGTATGAAGGCAGAAGCAGCAATTCAGCCCCTGTACCTGCAATGTTGTGGTAGATCAACCTCTATAGTAGAAACACTGGCAAATTAGCCCCTCTATTATATGAAATCCGCAAATTACCCTTTTTGTTAAGGATGACATTAGAGAACGTCATCTTTTCGTTTGATTTTTGTGGCCCATTAATAAAAGATAATGATTGGACAATGAAGTGGCATTAACTTAAAAAAAAAAACCACTTGGCTTGGGAAAAAGAAAATTTTGAGTTTTTTTTTCACTTTTACATATTTAAACATAAGAATTTTTTAATAAGCTTTTTAAGGACAGATTAAGTCTTATTTATTATAATATTTATAGTTAATTTTACACAAAATTTTATATAAAATTCAAATTTTATATGATGCTATTGAATCAATACAAATTCCACCACATCATGATGTCTCAATAAATCATTTTTATTAAAGAAATTGGTAGAAATTCGCTGGGGAGTTATCTTCTCTTGGAGTAGAAATCCGTAGGTCAATAATTCAACAATTCAGATTTCAACGTTTCCCCACGTTAATTAAGGGACTCTTTTCTTGGTGAAAATTAATTGTGGGTTTCATCCATTAATAAATAATAAGCAATTATCATTTTTTAGGTCAATCTAATTTTTAAATAAGGTTCTTTTTTTTTTCTTTCTTTTTAGTTTGTTTAATTTGTATTTTAAGGACACAAATTATGATTATATTAAATACATATTTTTATTGTTAATTTGTATTAAAAAATAAAAATTAATTTTTAATTTATTAATTATTTAATTAAATTTATTTGCTTAACACTGACATTAAAATTAATATCAATTTTTATATTTTTTTTATATACATTTATAATAATAAAAAACTTTTAACATATACCTTTAAGGTATAAGTTCAAAAAAACTTTTCCTTTTTAGGATAATCCAATATTCAAATAAAAGACTTTTCTAATATGGGATATAGATTAAGGGTATTATTTTATTATAAATGTATATAAAAAAATATAAAATTGACATTAATTTTAGTGTTGGTGTTAAATGAATAAATTTAATTAAATAGTTAATAAATTAAAAATCAACTTATATTTTTTTAATATAAATTTATTATGAAAAATATATTTATTACATTATTAACTTATACTTTTAAGTTATAAATTAGACAAACCCTCAAATAAATTGTTGCATTGAATGTATTGGATTAATGTGCTAAAGTGCTCTTAAAATTGCCTCAATAATCCAAACATACATTGGAAGTCCAAACGAAAGAAAGAAGAGTTATGTTCGCCCAATTATATTCTCTCACTTCAATCAACTTATAATGTGACTATTTACAAAAATTAGTTTTGAAATGTATAAAAAGTAATTTGAGAACACCTTAACAATAAATATCAATATATACATATGTATATATATATATATATATATATGTAAAGTAACTAGTTGATCAACCCACTTATCAACATATCCATGTAGTGAATACTTTTTTGCTTGTTTTCCTAATATGAGAACCACATAGTTATATATGTTAAAAACGAAAGGGGGGGGGGGGGGGGGGGGGGGGTGAGGAATCACATGGTCATCCATCAAAAAAGAATCATATAGTTGAACTATATTTTTACGAGACTGGGTATATGAGTCCTAGGCCCGTTTTTGGAACAGTTTACATCCCAACCTCACCCAAATTTAAGAGAAGGCGATTTTATGGGTCCATTTTGTGAGCTGTCTTCAACCCAACCTCCACTAAATTTCCGAGAAGGCAATTTTATGCCCTGTCCCCGGTA